CGGTTCCCGCTAAGGGCATGTACCTCGGTTGCAGTTCGTCCCTGGCCCTGGTTGGTCGTGTGGGTGGCAGCCACTCGATGTGTCCCTTCACATCGATGTTTCCCTCTCTCTCTCTTCCTCTCTCTCCCTCCCACTCTGTCTGTACAAAAAATGAAAAAATGTCCTCAGGTGAGGATAAAAAAAAAAAAAAAAAAAAAAAGATAAATTTTTTCAAAAACTTGTCAGCAAAGTGTACCCGTTGACATAGGAAAACTTGTATATTATTGAGTAAAAAAAGGTAAAATATAAAAAAAAGAAAATGTCCTTGGGTGAGGATAAAAAAAAAAAAAAGAAACGTCAATCGGCTGCCTCCTGCATGACCTGAAACCCAGGCATGTGTCCTGACTGGGAATCGAACCAGGACCTCTCAGTCCATGGGAGGATGCTCAATCCATTGACCACACCAGCCAGACTATAGTTGGATTTTTTTTTTTTAATCCTCACTCGAGGACATTTTTCCATTTTTTGTTCAGATAGGAGTGCGAGAGAGTGGGAGGGGGGAAGGGAGAGAGAGAGAGAGAGAGAGAGAGAGAGAGAGAGAGAGAGAAAGAAACAGCGAGGTGAAAGAGACACATCGAGTCACTGCCACCCACACAACCCAACCAGGGCCGGGACAAACTGCAAATGAGGTACATGCCCTTAGCTGGAACCGAACCCGGGTCTCTCTGGACCACAGGCCAATGCTCTAACCGCTGACCCAAACCAGCCAGGACTATAGTTGGATTTTTAAAACTATGTAATCTAAATATTTGTTTTTTTAAACAAAAGAAATACTGCAATTTTAATTTACAAGTATATTTATCTAGGATTCCAGGCTCTATTCTATTATTATGTAATCTTGAAAAAGTCTCTCAAAGTCTCTGAATCTCAGAAGAGTCTTAATAAAACACAAATGTTTAATTAGATTATCTTAAATACCCCTTCTAGCTCATTTTCTTTGTCATTTCATTAAATTACAGTAACACATTAAAAATTGTTTTGAGACAAGGAATCTTAAAACCAGAACTAAAATTAAAAACAAAATCCTATAGTAATTTAATGAAATAATTCAAATAGTTACTGATGTTTAGCTTTGGGATATTTGCTCTTTGTCATCTAAAACTTCAATTTTCTATGAGGAAAATTAAAAAAAAAGAGTTGTAAAAATAAATAAATAAATCGCCCTGGCAGGGTGGCTCAGTTTCTTGAAGAGTCACCCTGTATAACAAAAGGTTTCAGGTTTGATTCTGGTCAGGGCACACATCTAAGTTTCAGGTTCGTTCCCCCATCTGGGCATGTACAGAAGGCAAACAATCAATGTTTCTCTCTCTCTCTCTCTCTCCCCCCCCCCCAACCCCCCGCCTTTAAAAATTAATAAACATGCCTGGCCAGTGTGGCTCAGTGGTTGAGCATCGACCCATGCTCCAGTGGGGGGCATGTAGGAGGTAGTCAGTCGATGTTCTCTCTCATCGATGTTTCTCTCTCTCCCTCTCTATTCCTCCCTCTCCCTTCCTCCCTCTCTAATAGCAATAAAGAAAAAAAATTAATAAACATATCCTTGGGTGAGAATTTTTAAAATATTAGAAAAAAATCCTTCAATTTTCCACTATTCAGTGTATAATATTTTTGCAGTTTAATTTATTTTCTGATAATAATACATGCTTTTTAAGAAATATATTTTCTATGATTTAGGGGGTGTATTTAAATATATTTCCTTGTGACTCTACAACTTTTTGTTTTTAGAAATCTAAAAAATCTTTTCAAGGTTTTATTATTTCCAGCATCGTTTTCTTTTAGCTGATTTTTAAAAATTTCTACAAAATGTTTCTGGAGTTGCAGATGTCACAATCTTTACTTTTTTACAAGATTAATCTAAAAATCACACTGTTGTACTTTTGAATATTAAGACCTTGGAAATAAACCTACAGATCTCATTGTCAGCCTCTCCACTTAAAGGAGATACAGTGATAACCGCGTCTAGTTATTGTAGTTAATGGTATTACATCATTTTATTTGGAGCCTGATTTTGCATGTTTGGCTATAGTGACACACACAGCTTTTAGGATTAAGGCCTTTAGGAAAGAAGAGACCACACTGTTTCCTGCTCTAGTTTTCCCCTCTTTTTGCACCTCTGTGTCAATGTGAACCAAACGGCTTCCCAAATCCATGACTGTTCCCTGGGATGCTTAAAACCACTGCAGCAACCTGAAAGGTGTTGCCAGAACCAATCTTTGTCATTTAACTGACAACACTCTTGACCAGGAGCCTGCTTTGTTATACACCAGTCATATTTTCCTAAAACTACATAACCCTATAGTTATCTTTATTTTTTAAATTTAATTTTGTTTGTTTAATTTATTTTTGTTACAGATGTTTCTCCTCACCCCCCCATTGACACCCTCCTCCCATTCCTGCCCACCCCCTTTCTATGTCTCTGAGTTTATTTATTTATTTTCTTTATTGGTTTTTTAGAGAGAGAGGGAGAGACAGAAACATCAATGAGAGAGAACATTGATTGGCCACCTCCTGCATGCCCTCCACTGGGGATCGGATCCACAACCTGGGCAAGTGCCCTGACTGGGGATCGAACTGGTGACCTCTTGGTGCATGTGTCGATGCTCAATCACTGAGCCTTACCAGTCGGGCTCTGGGTCCATTTTGCTCATCAGCTATTTTGTTCATTATATTCCACAAATAAGTGAGATCATATGATACTTGTCTTTCTCTGACTGGCTTATGTTGCTTAGCATAATACTCTCCGGGTCCTTCCATGCCATCTCAAAGGATAAGAGATCTTTCTTTTTTACAGCTGCATAGTATTCCATTGTGTATATGTACCACAGCTTTGTTATCCACTCATCTACTGATGGACACTTGGGCTGTTTCCAGATCTTAGCAATTGTAAATAGTGCTGCTATGAACATAGGGGTACATATATTCTTTCTGATTGGTGTTTCAGCTTCTTAAGATATATTCCTAGAAGTGGGATCACTGGGTCAAATGGCAGTTCAACTTTTAAAAAAATTTTTTGAGGAAACACCATATTGTTTTCCACAGCAGTTGTACCAGTCTGCATTCCCACCAGCAGTGTACTAGAGTCCCCTTTTTTCCACATTCTTGCCAGCACTTGTTGTTTGATGATTTGTTGATGACAGCCATTCTGGCAGGTGTGAGGTGATACTTCATAGTTGTTTTAATTATAGTCATTTTGATTTACTTGGTTATCTCTTCATTCACCCCAATAGCAGCACATTTACAGACTCTTAGGATGGATCAGTTCTCCAGCTAACTTATCCCATCTTTTATTAGACCATTACTATGTAGATGCAAAATATATGTGTGAGGGTGGGAGGTGGCAAGCTAGAACCTAAACTGAGTCTCTAACTCTATTCTCAAGGTGGAAGATCATCAGATTTGAGTGTACCCCTATAACTGTTTTTAAAAATATTTAAGCCCTGCACATGCCAGGGTGTGGGCTTGATCCCCAGTGGGGAGTGTGCAGGAGGCAGCCGATCCATGTTTCTCTCTCATCCATGTTTCTCTCTCATCAATGTTTCTATCCCTCTCTCTCTCTAAAAATCAATGCAAACATATTAAAAAAAAAAAATTTAAGCCCTGGCCAGGTGGTTCAGTTGGTTGGAGCATCATCTGGTACATCAATAGGATGCAGGTTCCATTCCCGGTCAGGGCACATCCCTAGGTTGCAGTTCCATTCCCGCTTGGGGCACATTCAGGAGGCAACTGATTGATGTTTCTTTCACACATGATGTTTTTCTCTCTCGCTCTCTAAAAAAAAAAAATCAATAAAAACATATCCTTAGGTGAGGATTAAAAAAATGTTTAGCCCTGACCTGTTTGGCTCAGCGGTTAGAGCGTCGGCCTGCGGTCCTGAGAGACCCGGGTTCGGTTCCCGCTGGGGGCACGTGCCTCGGTTGCAGTTTGTCCCCGGCCCTGGTCGGTCGTGCGGGTGGCAGCCACTCGATGTCTTCCTTTCACGTCGATGTTTCTCTCTCTCTCTGTTCCTCTCTCTCCCTCCCACTCTACCTGAACAAAAAATGAAAAAATGTCCTCGGGTGAGGATAAAAAAAAAAAAATGTTTAAAATTATGTAAGGAAAATACTAATATTACCTTTGTTTAAAAATAAAAGATGAAGCCTCCCGAGAAAAGTCCTTTTTAACCATTCCTCCTATTGCTCTCTCTGTAGCGGTAACCATTATGGGTTTGAGAACACCTTTCCAGTACCCTTTCTATACATTTTTTCCTCTGCTGTATATACATGTACACATTTTCTTTTTATATAAATGACTCCTCCTCATTTTGTAGGTGAGGAAACTAAGTGAAACCTTGAGTGGAGACAATGTGTTGACAAATTTACTGAAGGAAAGTGGACTGAACAATAGTTTATTAAAATCTACCACATGTCAGACTCTGCACCCAGTGCTTTATTGGCAAGAAGGGTTCTGGTATTTTACTTGTGTTGGTTGGGTCGCCGCATTTGGTTAGCTAGCAATTAGTTTGGAGGTTGGGAAGCAGGTGCGAAATTCGCTTCAGTGCTATGTTGTAGAATTTGTATTTTGATGGGAGCTTCAGAAGACCTAGCAGAAGGCTATGGAGCTGCAAAAAAAGAAAAAAAAAAGTCATTGGCAGTTGGGTCTATTAATAAGACTTGTGAAACTGAACCGCGAAAAGCCTACTACCTGCCAAGCCCGAAGATTCTGTCGGAAACCAGAAACCGGTATCTTATCTACGAGAACAGCCTTGGAGCTTGGAGAACAAGGCACCAGAAGTTGCACAGAAGGATGCGGCTGCAGGAAGCAACCGAACAGCCAACTCTTAGAGCACAGACCATTCTCGGACCGGTCTGGGGCGCGCCTGCGCCGGCCGTCGCGGGGGGGCGGGGAGAGAGGCGGAGCTTGGTGGCGGTCAATGAGCCTGCGCAGACCGCGCGGAGAGGTGGGGGAGGGCGGTCCGTGTGTGTCTGTGTTGTTGTTCCGCGGCAGCGGCGGCGGCGGTAAGATGGCTGCCCACGGGGGCTCCGCGGCGTCTTCGGCGCTGAAGGGGTTAATTCAACAGTTCACCGCCATCACCGGTAAGAGACGCGGTTACCGGAAGGTGGAGAGCGGGGTCTGGAACAGTCCGCTGGTCTGCCCCGGGCTTCCCCTTACCTTCATGCATTCTTCCCTCGGGCTTTACGCACAGCTCCCGTCCTCTCTCCTGAGGAAGAGACGACGACGGCGTCGGGTCTCCGGGTTCAGGCGGCATACTACCCCCTCGCGCACTCCAAACCCTCGTTCTCGGTCTCCTTGTAGTGTGGAGGAAGACTCCCCACCCCCTGTCAGCCCAGACCCGGAGAATGGGCCGAGCCCATTCGCCCCCGCCGGCCCAGGGACCTGGGGGCGGTGGAGGTGGGGGGCCGCACCCGGGCCACCGCCCTCTTCCTTCATCATCATCATCTCTTCTCTGTGCATCCGTGGGGTGCAGTGCATCCTCTTACCTCCCTTTTCCTTTCTTCCTCGGCCAGGTCATTCTCCTCCTGTCCCTGGCCTGCCCTTCCCTTTTCTGGGCCCCTCGGAGCCATCGCTGTGGTCCTGGCGTGTTCGGGCCCTCCCGCCTTAACGGCGAGGCTGGTGGGTTCGGTAGCGCCTTAACCGATCCCGCGGGATAGGCCGCCAGAAAGGGGGGTTGCTGAGAAGTACCTTCAAGACTGAGGTTTTAAGAGAAGAATGAGGGGACCCCCCCCAACACACACACACACCTTAATAGGGAAGGCCTGGAGGAATCCTGGGTGGCGTTTCCCACCTCCTATAATGAAATCATAAAGACTAAGACCATGGCGCCGGGGCCTCCTGCTGATAAAATAGGGATGGCGGCAGAAACTTCTTTGAGAGAAAATCAGTTTCTGCATGTCAGTATCACCCAAACCCTCGGTTTTTCTTTTCCTTTGGACCCTTGCAAAGGGCACACGTAGAACCTTTAACCGCCTGGAGGAAAGGCCCTAAGCCATTCTGTGAATCCTCTATGACTTGTTTCTCTCTGATGGTGCTGAACTTTTTTTGCATGAGTTATTAGAGGGCGGAGCAAATGATGAAGTTCTCTGTGGAGTGATTTGAGAGACGTGTACTCCATGTGCCTAGTGTAATTTTGCTGTTCTAGTTTGTCATCTTGGAAGGAGGTCAGAATGTTAGTTCTCTTCCTTAGTAGATCTGTACTTTATCTGGTAATTTGTTAGATGCAGAGAACGGTTCCACTGTTAACGTACGTAGTTTTTGACGTGCAAGGTCTAGTTAAGTAAAATTTTACATTGTTTTAACAATTGCAGTAGTATGCAAGTTGCTGTTTTATAATTAAAGCTAGTTTTATTTTTTTGCTCTGCAATAATAGCTAGATGTTTGATGCATTTGGCATGAACCATCATGTCAAAGTTGGTAAAGTAAAATTTGTAATTAAATGGGATGAGGAGTGGAATAATTTAATATTTTTAAACTTTTGCGACTTTAAATATGTAATGTGTGTCCCAGTGGCTAAGCAGATTATTGTTATTGGGAAAATTAGAAATTATTGTTGTGTATATAAGTCAATATCGTTGATTATGTTTATATAGAAAAATCTTTAGCGAATCACATATTGAGGATTATTAATCCTTTTTTTTTTTTTTTTTTAAGAGGTGGTTTAATATGCTACCTGTTTAATTTCAGTTTTTATCCTAACTACTACCCATTCAGGATCTCATATTGTTTTAACCTCATATTATTTCTTCTCGGGCAACATTTTTGTTAGATATAGAAAAAAACAAGAGTGTAGTGAGATGCAGTGACTCACTTAACTGCTTCAATTCTGTTTCTGTCTGCTAGTCTACATGGCTTATTTTTTGTTCATTCTATTTCTGAATTAAGTTGGAGACCCTCAGTAGACCATGGTATCTGGAAGTCTGTAAAAGGGAAAATACCAGATTGTTCTTTATGTATTATGAATTTATATTAATACTTTTTGAGATTTTAAAAAATAGTGATTAATTATTAGAAACATGATTGATTCCTTTAGTCTTTTTCATGTATTTTAAAATTTTTATTTTATTATATTTATTAATTTTTCTTTTAAATCCTCACTCGAGGACATTTTTGCATTTATCTTCATATAGAGTGGGAGGGAGAGAGGGAAGAAGAGAGAGAAAGAGAAACATCAATGTGAGAGAGAAACATTGATGTGAAAGACACACACCAACTGGTTGCCATGCACACGACCCCCACCCATGCTGGGAAAAACCGAAATGGAGGTAGGTGCCCTTAGTGGAACTGAACCCCGGGACTCTCTGGTCCACAGGCCGACACTCTAACCGCTGAGCCAAACTGGCCAAGGCTCATGTATTTTTAAAAAAAATAAAATTTGGGGTTCTGTCCACATATATTTTAAATAGTAGTATTTATGATAAGAGGATATTTGATATTTATTGCTGGATGACTTGAACTGACCTTAAGAGCTTATGCTCTGATTTCACAAAGATTTTACTTATCTGGAAGCTCAGCATTCTGGTCAAAGCAACGCATTTTCAAAAATGCGAGTCTTACCTTTTCTGTAGCATTTAGAAATACAATAGAAAATTGAAAGAGTTTTAAGTCTTATTTCTCACTAAATAGAATGGATCGCTTTGTATGATATGTGAGTATAAAGTATAATGACTATGCTTTGTAAAAAAATTATTGAGAAGATATCACAACATACCCAGGCCAGTTTTACTCAGTGGTTAGAGTGTCAGCCCTGGGACCCAAGGGTTGCAGGGTCAAGGGCATATACCTGGGTTGCAGTTTTGATCCCCACCCCAGTTAGGGTCCTGTGGGAGGCAACCAGTCGAAGATACCTCAGTGTTTCTCTCCCTTCCTCGCTATCTAAAATAAAATTCAATGGAAAAATATTCTCTGGTGAGGATTAACAAAACAAAACAAAACAAAAGATATCACAACATTAAATACTTAAAAAAAAAAACAAGCCCTGGACAGTTTTGCTCAGCGGTTAGAGCGTTGACCTGCAGATCAGAGTCCCGGGTTTGATTCCGGCCAAGGGCATGTACAGTGATACCTCGGTTCTCGAACGCCTCTGTTTTCGACAAAATCGGGATTCGAGAAACTTTTGTCTCGGAATCCGAACAAATATTTGGAACTCGAACTTCCGAGATGAGCCGAGTTGAGCCGAATGGCGTTCATTCGGCCCAGCGCACCTTGCTTGCGTCATCAGTGTGAGTGCAGAGAGAGAGTCACGCTTCGTGGAGTCACGCTTTCCTATTGGGTTTCATTGCTTCGGTTCTCGAACAATTCGGTTCTCGACCGTCCTCCTGGAATGAATTATGTTCGAGAACCGAGGTATCACTGTACTTCGGTTGCGGTTCATCCCCGGCCCTGGTTGGGGTCGTGTGGGTCATAATCAATTGATGTGTCTCTCTCACATTGATGTTTCTCTCTCTCTCCCCCCCTCCTTCCCCCCCCTTCTCCCCTCTCCCCCCCATCCCTCTGTCTGAAGATAAATGTAAAAATATCCTCAGGTGAGGATTAAAAAAAACACACAAAAAAACAAACAAACAAAAAAACTCGAAAAACGAATCCACTGTCACAACAATATTATTTACATCTTATTTTCCAATTTTTGTTTATATACTTTGTTATTATTTTTACATTGTGGATCATAGTATACATAATTTAGAATTCTGAAATTATTATTATTTTTTTATACTTTTTTTTTTGTCAATGAATTCTGAAATTTTTAGTTACCATTATGTCATAAACATTTTTTCCATGATCAAACTCTTTGATAACAAGTAGCCAAGGGAAATGATTGTCTTTGAAGTGATCACATTGAGAATATATATACCTTTACCATTGATGCAGTTAGAATAATTTGAAGTTACATAGAAAAGCAATCCTGTTACCTTACAGTCTACTACATTTTATATAATTATTGTTTGATCTCCCTTAATATTCATCATACATGCCTTGAATGCTGACAATGTAATATATAGATCACGTATCATAGAAATGTTGACTCAAAACCAGTGTGATCTTATTAACCAGCATTGCTCCAGTAGATTTAATTAAAAGAAAATCAAAAGTCATATTTTAAAAAGTCATATCAGTTCCCAAAATATGAGGAAAGAATGAGCTGCTGGGTTTGAAGGTTACTTCAAAAGTACAATTAAAAAATTTTTTTTTGAACCATGGCATTACCCATTAACACCAGCTTGGCTTGACATCCAGCCATACATATACAAAATGCACAGATGTAATCAAAATAATTCTCCCCCCTCCTCACTTGAGGATTTTTTTAAAAAATTGATTTTAGAGAGAGGAAGGGAGAAGGAGAGGGAGAGGGAGGGAGGGAGGGAGGGAGAGAGAGAGAGAGAGAGAGAGAGAAAGAGAGAAACATTGATGTGAGATTGGTTGCTTCCCATATGCACTCCAACCCAGGATCAAACCTGAAACCTGAGTATGTGCCCTGAACAGGAATTGAGCCTGTGACCTTTTGGTGTACTGGATGATGCTCCAACCAACTGAGACACCCCGGCCAGAGCAAAAAGAATAATTCTTGATATAAGGGATACATAGACACTATAGAATAGGTAAAAGTAAATAGGTAATCAGAAGGTAAGGACAAAATGTGAGGGAGTAAAAAGTACTGAGAGCTTGCTAGTATAGGATTCTAAAGCTTTGTGCATAGTAGGCATTCACATATTTAATGATAGTATACAACCTCAGTTGTAAAGGAGACCTTAGTTTAATATTTCTGTAAAGTTGTTGAATGAATGCATATTTGCTATAGAAATTACAAACTGCTGTGTATAGGGTTTGGCGTTGTGGCCAATTTCCATTCATAGTCTTTTCTACAATACATTTCTCTTAGGTTAGTATTAAAATGTGTTTAAGTTCTCTTTCAGGAGAAGTGGTTGCAAGTGTTCTAGATTTCAAAAGAAAACTCTTGGAATTTTAAGAACTATTTAAAAAGGTGATAATGATGTTTGAATAGAAATTTAGGGAGGTAATTTTTTTTTTTTTGAGTTGTGAATAGAATCTTACTAATAAATTCAGTATTTATTGATAGACTGCT